CACAGTGAAAACAAGGCTTAGAGGGATTTAAGGTCCATTCATAACAGTGGCTCTTCCTCAAGAATGCATACTTTTTTTTGCTCTGAACTTTTTAACATGCTGAGCTCAGACTCTTGTTGATGCTGAACACTCAGATGAAGGCAGAGGGAGCTGCAAGTATGGAGGTGTGTGGATAGCCACACTGTAGGTGGAGATCTGCAAAGTCAGGCACCCACAATTAGATACTGCATTTCAGAATTCCAGCTCAGACTACTTTGCCAGGATCTCACAGGAAAAATTATGAGAGATCTAGCAATGAATCCTGATTCCCTACCTGCTCCCAGCTTGCAAGTAGATTCACACACTCTACACTGATATCAGCTCAGTCAACTCACAATTACTAACATTAACGGCTGAACAATTCTAACTGCTGACAAGCTATCCAATTGCAAATTTACCTCCCAAGAGCTGTTAGCTCCCATCCAAATCACTGTTTATTATTTACAGGAACCACCAACATGGAGTGAAATGCTGGCACTATTGAGGGATCAGTAAGCGCGTTGCCTAACTTTACCTTTTTTGGAGTTGTTTGTTTTTTGTGGGGTTTTTTGCACACTGCAGAAAGTGTCTGTCCTTAACACTCTTAAGAATTTGTGTCCATGTATGCTATAGGTGCATCCTACAGAGTTGTGTTAGCTGTGCATTCTGTTTCAGTTCTGGGTATGGGCAGTAATTATTGACTAGGATCTCAGTTTCACTAAGTACGTCAGTAAAAGTTCTGGACCTCCTGATTTTGCATGGTTTATATGATGAATGTTTGGTGTGCTTTCTTCAAGTGAATCCTGGCCGCTAGTGCTAAGTAAATTTATTCATGCAGAGTAATTGCTTGATAGATATAAAAGTTTCAAAACAACCTTTTTTTTTTTTTTTTTTTTTTCACATTACAAGATCTGGCTACAATGATACAGATTTAGTTTAGTGGCAGTAAGTCAGACCATGTGTGTGTAAGCATTTTCTGTGGGGATAACAGTCTAAAAAATGAGCAATATTATTTTTGATTATCTGGAGAGACAAATTAATATTATTTTAAAGATGCTGTTCTTTCTTCTGTGTGATGTGTTGTAAAACAAGTTTGCACACTGGATTTGCAAAAGAATTCATCACTCTTTTGGAGACTAAACTGAGCAACTATATAAAGAGCCCAGCTTTGTTGGATGTGAGCTCTTCTGAAAACTGGCTCTGTAATGGAGCATCTAAATTGAGAGGTATCCCAGGAAAATCAGTGGAGCCTAGACCGCTCACAGCAGTACTTTTGCTTTTAAGAAAGTTTTAGATGGTGGAAAGAGTAAGAACTTCTGAATATTCCAACCTTCCTAAGACAGTTTCTTTTCTTTGTTTTTTATTTAAAAAGAAAGGAAAATTAAAAAAAAAGTTCTCCTTGTTCAGCTTGAGACACTGAACTTCAGTATGGATCTGTAGAACTTACATTGTATCTTAGGGCGGGCTAATCTAGTTGTGGAATAGACTTTCCAACATCCAGCTATCTTAGGTGTATCTGGAACCTTAATGGGGCATCAAAGTAAAGCTGACTGTCATTCTTGTTAATGGGGCTATAAGCAACATCATGCTGATACTGTTTTTTTAAAAGAGGCATCTCCTACGCATTTTGATAGTAAACAGACAAAAGGAATGTCTTGGCTCGCTTTGTAACCTCTGAGCCCTTACCAAGTGGAGGGAGTAAATGCATTTATAACTCTAGGAAGACCATCAACTTTGGAACTAGGCAGGAGAAGTAAATGAAACCTCCTGGCCATGACACTTTAAAACACTTTCTTTTCTGAAGGTGGAAAAGATTGGACCTTCCATGCTTTCAGAAAGTCTCCAGTCCTCTTCTAAACTTCGCATCCTTCTGTTTGCAAATCATATCCAGATGATCCTGCCATTTTTTCTTAACCTAGCATCGAATAAATTGACATGAAGATCTGACCCCAGGTTGAGGAATAATATGCAAGCTGATATAACAAAATATACAATCCAAACTGAGCCTTAAAGGCAGTTCAGAATATCTAAATATGTTGCCACAATTCTTTTATGTGTTTTACTGTGATATATCTTTCTAAGAAACACACTTACAGGGCAGTAGGTCCTCCTCATCTTGAGTAAGTACGTAAGTCACGCTGATGGGGCTTTATCACATGTTGATGGTTTCTCCAGATTATGCTGTAATCTTGAAAAGCCTGGGTACCAATACAGATGTGAGAATGTAGGGCCCAACCTTAAACTCAAGGGAAGAATTTCCCCTGACTTCAGTAGTGTAGGAGTATGGCCCAAATTCTACATAGTACACCTGTCTTCCATTGAAATTAGTTGGCGGTAGATGCTTAATTATCTAGAAGGATCAGAATCTCAGCCCACGACGATGCACTCTGATGAAGTTGTGCTTAGACTGTCTTACTGTAATCAGAGGCTAGTTAATAAATTTCCAACCGGACCTTGGACCAAAGCTGCCAAGAGCTATACTGGAAATAATTAGAGTTCTAATATCTCAAATAATGAATATTATTAAAATATCCTGTGCATTCTGCAACATCTAACAAGATTAGATATGCTTTTAAAAATATCCACAATGCATGAAAGTCATCGTCTGGTGTTCTTAATTAAGTTTGGATGAGTGTAAACAGATGTAAACAGCAGACAAGTGCTGGGAAACTGTTTCTGTTGGTTTATCTTGAGTTGATCATATGGTTTCTGTATTTTACATGAGATGTATTTTTCCACCCTAGAAACAAATTTTTCTAATAACGTGCAGTGAAGTTATGGAATAAATATGTAAAATCAAACCACCAGTTTTTTTCCATGTTTCTTTCATGTGAAAAGCAAATGGAGAGACAAATTATCGCATGTATATACACTGCTTTTTCCTTTTCTTTCCTGTTCTGTTTGTGGTTTTTATACTTATCTGCAACATACAATCTTCTTCGGTATTTATCTTCAGTCTCTCTGTCTGTCTTAAAAAAAAATCTTGTTTGGATTGAGTAAACATAAGGACATGTTACAGGATTTTTTTTTTATTATTTAGAAAATTTTGAGGCTATCTAGTAGTTAAAGGGCTATTTAGAATAAATTCAGACTTTCTCGTGGACTTCATCTCGGGGAATTTGACTCTATTGCCTTTATAATCTGTTCCTGGAAAGCATCATTTTTTAATTGAAGTAATCGTGTGACTGGGAAGCGGTTTCTTCTTGTAGTTTCTGCAGCCAAAACTCATATAGTTCCTTGTTGATTACAAAAACAAAAAATTGTTGGCTGATTTTCCTGGAATTAAATTGGCAAACATTAGGGGGAAAAATTGTCCTTTTTCCAGAAAAAGCTATCCTTACAGAAGTTGCAAGTTGTAATTCAGATGTAAAGTTCTGGGATGATATTTGCTGTCCATAATGCTTTTACCATATGTTATCAGAATGTGTCAACTGACACTTTTTATGCGGCAAACAAAAAGAAATTGCATACCATAAACATTTTATGCAATGTCTGATAAATATGTAAACATAAAACTCTCTGTAACCCAGTGTTAAGAGAAGTTACAGACTTGAATCCATAGTTTATTTCAAGGGGGAAACACTGACTATCTCATAAATTAGCTCAGTGCTTTACTTGAAAGGACATAAAACAGTACAGAAGTAAAAAAATATTAGAACTGAGAGCAGTAGAACTGAGAAGAGCAAGTTAAAATCAGAAATTCAATGTTATTTCTATGGAATAAGCTTAACCTTTTTTTATATGAACTGTACAGAAGGATGGATAGTTTTTTAGTAGCCTGAAAACACCTAAGCCATATAGTTAAGTTTGCGCATGTGAATAATCCCATTCAAGAGAAAGGTGCTCTTCAACAAGTAAAGTTTTCCAAGGTGCATCTCTCTTTCCAGGATGGGGCCTCCACTGTTCTTGCATCTGTATTTTCACAAAACCATGCAAACCTTGAGCCTTCCCTTGCGAGGTCATGGACATCCTCAGCATTTGGTATCTCCAATATACCCAGGTCCTGCAACAGCTTAAACATATGTATAACTTTGCATGTGTAGGTAGTCTGATTAGCTTGAATCTGCATATTAGTGTAGGTAAGGTAATGTGCGATCTGCAGCCTTTGGTAGGTTTGGGGTAATTCTGTGGAAAATGGCCTAGAAACATCTGAATACAAACATCAGCATTGACTATAGAAAAAATACTTTAGATATGTGTAGGAAGGGCAGGTGCTTCTGTTCAAATGACCATAAGCAATTCACTAAAAGATACCCCTTGCGTCTTCTATGCATCCTCCAGCCCGCCAGGAAAATCTTAGTCCTGTTGAAATCCTTTCTCATTTACTTCATTGAAGCTGAGATTTTTATGCTTAGCCTAATGTAACTTCCAATGATTTTGGTCTTATTCCACTTCCTTGTGGATGTAATGGGAGTTTGGCCAAGCACAACCAAGACTTTGTTTCCAAATATATGATTAAATGAATAGCAGCTACCTTCACCTGTTGTTTCCTACATGTAGGTGGAAGTTTTTGTCCACTAGCGCATCTCGAACGTCCACGTACTCTGAATAGGGTGGATGGCTTTAAGTTACATAACATTAAAAACACAAGCATGTCAGACTTTCTGACATAAAGGGAGAGCATAGGAAGGTCAGATCTGCGATTACAAAGCTCACTTATTCCTCGTCTCCACAATTGTGCAAGGTCTTATGTTTATCATCAACACAGTGGATGATGATAGGTCTGTCTACCAAAAGTGGAAGAGCCCTCCTAGGTACATGGGGTCTGTTTGGACAAGTATGACATGAGTTGGTTGACACGAGTCCTGCATCACCAGTGCTCACTTTATAGATTTGGCGTTTGGGGTCAGAGGATTGCTTCCATCCTGTACTGTAATCACTAGCATGAGGAAGATCTGTTCTTGGCTGGGGTCTCTGGATACTCCTCTAACTCTTGCTGCTGCTTGAAGTTTAGCTGTTGTGTCCCTTGTCTGTTTTGACAGAGTGTAGACCTGGATGACCGCCACAAACCTGAGTTTAGAAGAGTTTTTAGTTCTTCCATCATTGAAAATGGGCATCAGTCTTCAGCAGGTAGGAATGGGAAATGAATGAAGCAGCACTACTTGTAGAATACCAGATCTTGGCAGGCGCAGAGCAGCAGCCCCTGGATGTTGCAAGCATTAGAATCTGATATGGTTTTAGCATGAATACTATACTGTTTAACTTTGTTTCCTAATTAGGAGTTTAATTTTTAAACTTCGTTGTTAAGCATGCACTGTAGTGTTTGATTAATTAGAGCCTATTATTGTTACATTATCTCAGGGTATTAGTGATGATAAGGTCTGCTATTCTGGGTGCCGTTGTAGCCTTACATCTCAAAGCATTTTTGTAAATTACTAATCTAATTTCATCCTTCAGTGGGGGAAGGACTTATCTGCGTTTTAGAGAACACTGAGGCACACGTTTCACAGACCCAAGAAAAGAACAAGAATGTTGACTCCTAATCCACAACTGGAGATTTGGGGAGTGGGTAGGTTAATCAGATGCAGATGCCAGTGGATTAATGATCTGAATAAGCTGCACTAGCTGAGATTCACGTAGGACAGGTATATCACTGCAACGATCACTGACACCAGGGTTGTATTTCAGTTTCTGCAGTGTGCTATAAATGGTATATAATGCCCCAGAGGAGGAATTAGGTAACATAATTACAGTATCTTGTAAAATAAAGTTGTGCATGAAAATTGGTTGTAACTTTGTGAAAATCTGCAAATAAACTTACTTCCTCTCTCCTTTTCTTTTTATTCACTAGGTCAGGCAAAAGTCTCCCATGAACTGACCTCTTTTCACATGTCAGACTCTTCCCCTGAAGCCCATGCCCCTGCAGTCACTTTACAGATGCCTCACCTGCCCGTTACTGCAGTAACCAGAATATCGGAGAAATTTTCAGGAGAAACCATCTCTTCGGCAGGAACAACTAATGTGTCTGCTGGCCTGCTGGGACAGAGCAAGAGCAAGAGCAAAAACGAGACGGTAGTGAAAACTTCCAACCAGTCAGGTAAGAGAGAGAAAAATCATTTGCTTACTGATCCTATGCCTGTTTTCACTTCTTCAAGAAGCTGGGGGTAAGGGTTGTCCTTTGACCTAGTGAGAATGGTGAGACCTAATTTCTAAGGCTATGTATCCTGTGGTGGGACACTCTGATTTGGAATACTGTGTGTCTAGGTGGAGCTTTAAGCCATAATGTCACATCCTGTGAGACCTTCTTGCTGCCTAATATAGATGAGTATACAGTGCAGCCTATCCTCTAGTGCAATTACTCAGGAAGTATTTCTTTTCAACTCGGCTAACTATTTTAATGAAACTTGCAAGGAGTTTTTAGTGCACTGCGATCTCAGGCCTCTAGTGAAGTTAGGCTGATGTTGGCCAACATGTTCAAAAGTGATTTGGAGGGGTGAATGACCGACAGCAGACAGACACATACACGCAAGAGACAGAGTGATTGTAGAATCTTATTTTCTCTCTAAACTGAGTTTAAAAGAAAGAAACCTCATCTCATTTGATTCCTTCTCAAGTCATTCAGGTTTTAATTTTTGAACTGTATTTCATGCACATTTAGTGATGGTGACATAGCTCAGAGTATTTATATGGGTCAGAAATTACAGAGACAGATCAGAGAGAGACCAGATGGATTTGCCAGTGAGAGCAAGGGATTATTTGCAGATTCTTCTTTCACCTTTTCTTTTATTAAAGCTAAGTAGCAAAGCCTTCCTTTGTCTTTTTTCTTCTGTTTCAGTGAAGGCCTGGAACTCAAGTTCACTGAGAACAGTGGGTTCATCTGCTACTGCAGGTGAGTGTGTTCCCATCAACGTTACCTTATTCAGAACATTTGAGTGTCTAGTTCCAATTTCTAAGTACTAACGAGACTGCATGCAGATTCAGTTTCTAGCATATCATAACTCTTTCTGGCTGTATCAGAGCCTCTGTCGGTTCAAAGCAAGGGATGCTTATTCATGTTTACACAGCGGTGCGTGTGTGTACTGTTAGGCAATCTCTGCAGTTGAAATAACAGGTGCCAGAAAAGTGGGGGAGAACAGACAGCTTGAGAGGTGAACATTTCAACTGGCCTGGTGAAAAACTATGGCTGAACGCGAGGTAACGTAATTTGGAAAGTGTTGGGCCCACCCTGTGTCTGTGGAAGCAGCTTCATTTGAGCAGAATAGCACCAAGTAGTCTCCTTCATATATGTATGTGTCAAAGGATAAAATGCCTTAAGGACTTTTGATTTCAGTCTAAACAGATGAGTTGAGCTCTACCCAAAAGTACTTCTAATAGATGTCACCAAACTGTTAATTGTCTACGCAATGGACTGGCATTTGACTGTGACCGCAAGTGTCAGTTTAGCAGAGATGTAGTTAGTATAGAACAGTGATCACACTTCTTCATGGGTGCAGATTCATCACACCTGTATGCTGGCATTTACCAGGGCTAGTTCATCTGGGATTCCTTCTAAAGGCAATTGGGAGAGAATAGCACTTCTAGAGAGTGATTTGGACAATATTAGATTGTATTTCTGCTAAGATGTCGGTCTTTCTTCTGAAAATGAGTTCCTGGATTGTGCAAAGAGTTCTGGCTTTAGTGTGTTAAAACTGGGCAAGTCCCCCCCCTCCATTATTTCACATTTACAGAGCATAGCCGGGGTCCAGTGCTGGCCTCTAAGAGACAAAGCACAGAAGGCTTTGCAACCTTTAGAGTCTGTTCGACTTTAGAAATAAAATGATTTCTAGTGGAAATTAGGTAATTTAAATTATGCTCTCAATCGTGGCAGCTTTCCGAGGACTTCTTATGTCTGCCAGAATGACTGTTGAAAGCTGAGCTGTGGCACCATTTCTTCCTTTCACTGAAATGTCCATGGCAGCATCTTCAGAGTGGTCTCCTCAGAGGTCTGCAGGAGGGCCTGAAATGATCTGACTCTTCCAACACAGTTTTATCAAAGGCATTCTCCCACAGTCTTTTACGGATTGTTTACACCCTCCTTGCAGCAGTGCAACAATTTTGTAGAGGGACTGAACCCCTGGGGAAAAATCCCTCCCCAGCTTATTAGCTTATATAGGAAGTTAAGACAGAGGCCTGCAGCTTTTCACTCTGGTGAGTAAAAAATCAACATGTGGCTGAAAAGGATTGAAAGCATATGAGAAAAGGAGAGAAGTTTCAAACCTGATTTTCTTGTTTCTTCCTGCTTTTTCTACAGACAAAACCACTTCTGTCACTAAATCTGTCTCAGCCACGAGCTATGGGATGAGTAGTGGAACCAAAACTGGTGAAAGGTAGGCATTTTTCATGACATTTTGTTAGACTCTTGTGGCCATGATCTAAATGGACAGGTGTTCTGCTGGCTTAGAGACAAGGTGAGTCCCAGCTGCTATAATTTAAGCTCATTAAAGGTCATGAGCCTTCCTGAGGGGTAAGTGGAGCTGTGATGGGAAGAGGTAAAAATCTTTCATAGAGCAGTTTAAAGCAGACCTAATCAAATAAAGCAGACCTCTGGTGTTTGCCAGTAAAGCTCTGCCAGCACTGGATTATTGTTAAGGGGAGCAAGTTGTGAGCTTCACCCGTTTGCAGAGCTGCAACTTGTCTGTATCTCACAGAAGTTGGGAAGGTTATGATTCAAAAGTGATCAGATACCATTGTTAACAGGAACTGAATAGGTACCTGCAGAGCCTAGATAGCCAGGCAGAGTGGTGCTGTTTTCCCTCATATACTTCATAGATCTAGTTAATGCTTGGTGAATGAGTCTCTGAGAAAAGGGTATCTTCCTATCATAATGAACCCTAGTCTCTGTCTTTATCAAAAGCAGGCTTTGCTTATGATTGGTAGTTTGCTGACTTCCTTAAGCGAATCCCCCCCCCCCCCAGCACCCCTCCTCCCCAAGAATGGCATTGTATGGGATGGGTTTTTATGAGTCCCCAAATGATCCTTTAATGGCCTCATCAGGGCCTTTGGAAACACTTTTTAAATATAGTCAAATGTGTCAAAGTTTGTATTTTGGGCTTATTTTTGGAAACCAATACATGACTACTATCAAACATCCTTAGTTTGACTGGCCTAGGGGTTAGCTTGTAGCTAAATGCCTTGCAGGATACTGAACACTTTTCAGCCCTACTCCCAAAAGCTGAGTACCACACCTTTTTGATTAACTGACAGTCACAGTTGCTTAGTGTAGGATTACACAGTATCACAATTACTACTGGAATACTTAGGCATCCTGAGCATGCAAAATCTCTGTCAAGAAAAATGGGAGGACAGGCAGTTTAAATACCTTAAACTGGCCTTGCCTCTGCCTTGGAAATTATCCCAAATTTGGCATTACATTTCTTCTGAGTTAGTTCCAACATCAGCAGCGTGATGTTTGAGCTATGATAAACTGAGCATCCTAGAGAACTCGCTGTCAGGAGATCTGTCCTCCAGCTGTAAGAGAAATAAGTGTGTGACTTCGATTTCATTGTTCTTTGCTTGAGTTTCCCCATCTCTGTAATGGTGGTGGGGGGGGGGGGGGCGCTTCCAAATGCCACGTGTGGCTTGCCTCATTAATGTTGGTGAAATGCTTTAGGGTTCAAATAAGCACAAATTAAATATAGTCTTTTGCCTTCTGGATGAAATTATCAGCTCGCTTTCAATGAAACAACACTGACGTGAGCTCAGGATTCTGTGTACTATGAGTAAAAATTTCAAAAGTAGTTCCTGAATTACTATTCATGCTCCATTTTTAAAATGTGGTTTAAATCCTCCAGGAACCAAAGAGTTGGAAGTTAAAGGCATTTAGTGCTCCCGTGTGCCTGCAATTTTTGGTTTTTTTTTTTTTTTTAAGGTGCTTAATTGTGCCACTCCATGTTATAAGGCCCTTGTGACTTGTGCCACTATGTCTCATTTGTAAAAGTACCTTAGATATTTAAGTACTTAAATGCTGTTGTCTGTCAATAAAACTTTGGGCTGTGTTTAATTGCTTGTGATTCATTCATTTCCTCTTGAAACTGTTTTGGGAGGTCTGGAGTAACCAACAGTTGGACCTTCATGTTGACTCCTAGTACTGCAGAGGGTTTTTTTTTTTTTAACCACATACTTTTCATGTTACTTTTCTGCAGTGCCACTGACAGTTACTATGATGTAACCCCCAAGTCTCGCTCCCCTCCTCCTACTGTCCATCGCCAAGTTGAAAGGAGGCGAGAACTGGTGCGATCTCAGACGCTCCCACGGACTTCAGGCACACAGGCCAGGAAAGCGCTTTTTGAGAAACTGGAACAAGACAGTGGAAAGTATGTCATTCCCCCTTATCTCCTGAATGGGTAGGGTAATGAGAAACTACTTTGTTAATTGTTAACAGCAGAGGACGGTTAGGGCAGGAGGACTCTTTCAACGTAGAATTTGAGCTAAGGGGCTATGAGGTCACGTATACCTCTGCTGATGTCACAGACTGAGCGCTGGAAATTCACAGCTACAGATTGCTCTGGCTTTAGAGTTGTTTATCTG